CTCATATACGTCTCATAACCGCAGTTCACACATATGTTTCATATGTTTGTTGTTGTTTGATTTATCATCTACGGGTTTATGTCGAATTAATTTGATGGCCTGCTCCCAGTTGGCTTGTTAGCTCAATTGGTAGAGCGCTGCACTAGTATCGCAGAGGTCAGTGGTTCGAATCCCGTACAGGCCTGAAATTTTTTTCAGGTCTGATTTTCACTATTGCTCAAATAGTGCTTTACTGCGAAGGATCGTGCACATATACGTTTCATAACCGCAGTTCATACATATGTTTCATATGTTTGTTGTTGTTTGATTTATCATCTACGGGTTTATGTCGAATTAATTTGATGGCCTGCTCCCAGTTGGCTTGTTAGCTCAATTGGTAGAGCGCTGCACTAGTATCGCAGAGGTCAGTGGTTCGAATCCCGTACAGGCCTGAAATTTTTTTCAGGTCTGATTTTCACTATTGCTCAAATAGTGCTTTACTGCGAAGGATCGTGCACATATACGTTTCATAACCGCAGTTCATACATATGTTTCATATGTTTGTTGTTGTTTGATTTATCATCTACGGGTTTATGTCGAATTAATTTGATGGCCTGCTCCCAGTTGGCTTGTTAGCTCAATTGGTAGAGCGCTGCACTAGTATCGCAGAGGTCAGTGGTTCGAATCCCGTACAGGCCTGAAATTTTTTTCAGGTCTGATTTTCACTATTGCTCAAATAGTGCTTTACTGCGAAGGATCGTGCACATATACGTTTCATAACCGCAGTTCATACATATGTTTCATATGTTTGTTGTTGTTTGATTTATCATCTACGGGTTTATGTCGAATTAATTTGATGGCCTGCTCCCAGTTGGCTTGTTAGCTCAATTGGTAGAGCGCTGCACTAGTATCGCAGAGGTCAGTGGTTCGAATCCCGTACAGGCCTGAAATTTTTTTCAGGTCTGATTTTCACTATTGCTCAAATAGTGCTTTACTGCGAAGGATCGTGCACATATACAATAATTTTCATTGGTAACACATCAAGTCTGTTAACTGTAGACAGAAGCCAGCTTTGTGAACATATTCTTAATGTTATCAGGAACGAGATTATTGTGGACATCGTACATTAAAAGGCTCATTTGCTCAAAGCACAAGAATGATATCGGCAACTGTTTAGTTTGTTAGAATAACGGAACTGCATGAGCTCTTGGATAAGTGAAGAACATTAGCCTAAGGGCTCTCTTCTGAAGAACTAGTAGTTTATGAAGATGCGCTTCAGCAGTGTGACCCCAAGCACAAATGCCATAGCTGATATAGGGTAAGATTAAAGAGCGGTATAAAGTGTGAAGTACATGACGGGGAACAAAATGTCTGAGCTTGGCGATAATTCCGATTGTTTTACTGACTTTCTGACAAATGTAATCTACATGAATTTTCCATGAAAGATTCGAATCTATGAGTTCACCAAGATATCTAATGTAGTCTTTCATTTGTAACAGTTGACTGGTGTTTGAATTGCTATTTACCATTTTAATATCAGGATAAAAAGGAATAGTCTTTTGGCGGGAGCGAAAGATAATATAATTGGTTTTTTCGATGTTCAAGGTTAATTTATTGACAGCTAACCACGAGGAAACTTTGTTAAGTTCTTCGTTAATCTCAGATTCAAGTTTTTTTTAGTTCGCCGTTTGCATAAATTAAACTGATATAATCGGCGAAGAAGTAAAACTGAAGTTTATTTGAAGACTTATATATATCATTTATATACAAGAGTAAAAGCAAGGGTCCTAGTACAGAGCCTTGGGGTACTCCACAGAGGGTTTGATGAGCATCAGATATATAACGATTGACGGTCGTGTACTGTTTATGACCAATTAGGTAAGACTTAAACCAATTATTCACTATACATCCATCACACAGTAATCTCGTGTGTGGGAAATTTACGTCTCCTTCCCCAACCCTGCAGGAGACGGGACCTCCATTTATTCGTCCTTATCCGAGAAGACCAGAATATCTAACCATTTCTTGAGGTTATAGAAAGGTAGCAAATTCTTCTCAATTATTTTGAGACCCTGAGCGTTGGTCCGGCCGGAGTTCGAACCCTCGACCTCCCGCACAACAGTCCAGCGCTCTATCTATTGAGCTAACCGGGAGGCGGTTTGATTCCTTCGGCCTCATGCCTTCTCAAAGACTCTTGAATACGGTCAAATTCTGCACGCAAAGTTTGAAGTTCTTTCATCATTGCGTCGTTTTGATGTTCTGATGTTGTAACTTTGGAGTTGTTCGCCCTTCCAGGCATATTCTACAGGATTCAAATCGCTCAACTCACTCAAGCACGTCCGTCCGCACGTCCGTCCGTTTCTTCCTTCCTGGAGTCAGGAGGCTCCCCGATAGAGAGGCTTGGAACTAGGTGAAGAAGATACATGAACCCCCTTACAAAACATTAACCTAAAATCGATATTTCTTGATGTTCTTTTAACATCAATTAATAATTGCCAATTGTTATAAAACTCAAAAATTAGGCTGAGCTATTTTTGGAAATTATTCCGTTATTGTTGTTTATTGTGTTATTCCGCCTCGTGTACGGCTCGTTTCGCTACTAAGAAACTTAACTAACCGTGGATTTAATTTCAAGATGTGAACCGCCAAGTGTCATACAGCGTTTTGACAATAAACTGCGGTCTGTTTTGCGTTCCCTCTGCGTCGTGAGGTCGTTTTGTTTTCATAATCCTGACATCTTAGAATCGTTGAATGTCAGTGGAGGAGAAAGGCTAGGTGATGCTAATGATAAATAGCCCCTCAAATTTTAGCTCAGTTCTGTGTGCTATATTTGCTTTCGGTATGTTGTTATAGTTCTCTCTCAGTGTTTGTTGAATCGCAATTAGCGGGACTTCTTCGTGGTATGCCCTGATATATTCTTGGGGTATGAGCAAAGCACAGAGATGCCCTTGGGGAAAAAGATTCTTTCTCTATCATATCGTTGTCTTGGTACCAGTAGGACAGGAGCGTTTTAGAGAAGAAATGAATTGTTAAGCTGCCCGGTTTGCTTATCAAACTCTCACTAAAATTTTTCTCTGAACAGCTTGCTAGTTCACTCGTGGACCAACTGGCGCGAATTTTGTGGTTATTGCTTCCTTGATTTCTCTTCACATATGCGCACCCGCGGTGAGCCTGAAGTTAAAATGTAAATTAGAAATTTCATTATTGCTACTTCTCCGGCTTATTGTGGTGCGTTTCGTAAACTTGTTAACTTACTGTCCCAAAGAAAAATATGCCATGGTTGACAGCTGACTTCGATACTTAGAACCATCAGTAAAACCGATCGCTGTTGTAAAACTCCACGCGTGGAACACGATGTCGTCTGAATCACTGCTAGTCCACGATTCGGATGAAGGCGGAATTCTTCAGTGGTCACTTCGGGTAGGTCTGTGACCATATTTATCAAAAAATACTTCTGCTTTGTTCTGTCTTTACCCATGTATCACAAATGCGGTCATTTGGATTAACTTTGATGTCAGGCGCGTTACGTTATTTATCAGTATCTTGGTCAACATAGAAATGCGTGTCAAAATGAAATCAGCCATTGCGTAAATGATAATGAGGCTTTTATTTACATCCAGTCACCAACACCATTTCTGTTTGGTAATTCTGACCAACGTTCGCCGTACGTAACTGGGGAGCTTTTCCACCCTCCGTCATCCTTTCGCTATTGATTTTGTTCTTTGATATAATTTGATTACATCGTACTTCAGGGACAAAAAAAAACGCTGTTAGACCAGGCGAAAGAGAGACATCATCGCGGTCCACTTTTCAGTTTTTATTGACTTTTCCAGTTTCCATCGTAGAAGAAATAAAAAAACGAAGGGAAAAATAGGTTGCTTTACGTTATGAACAAAGATGTAATAATAATGTATCAGTTTCTGTAACCGGTCCAAGAATTTTTTAACATTGATGCGACCACCTGCAATAGTTGGCACTCTTACATGTCTAAAGTTTTCAGAGGGCCTATTTGTTTACTTATCAGCCACTTCATGTCCTCGCGGCAACAGGAAAAGGAAAATGTTTTGACAGCTAAGTAAAAATTCAGTTTAAGCGTTTTCGTCGGTAACCAACGTTGTGTCGTAATAGTTGGAATCGACAGAGGCCCACAAGTGTATGCACAAATCGTTTTTCTATCACGTAACAGGATGACTTGGAGCAACACCGACTTCAATTTGATAGTCAGGAAAATGATTTGACATTAATCTTAACTTATCTAGCATAAAGATTGAAATTGAGGCTTGAAATCGCGGTTATCAGTAGAAGAGAAAATTGCTTGTATGGCTTGTCCGTTTCTTTCTTAAAGTTTTAAGACAGCAATTTCCGGCTTGCCTTGAAGTCGAAGTCAATTTCGTTCACGCGAGCAATCTATAGAATTCCCTTGCTTGCCTGGAGTTTTTTAAAGCTTGTTTAAATGTAAATATGACTAGAAGCCATTTGAGGGAACCACATTCCCTAATCATAAACAATCACACTATTCGCTCTCTCCGTTATCTGTCAACTCGCCGCACTACAAATTTACAGACACTGGCCATATTCATTTAAAACCCCCAACTATCAGCAAATAAAGTATTTTTGGACAAGAGCGATTTTCGAAAAAAAAAAAGTCTAGTTTCTCCTAACTTTGAAGGATTTAATTTGATAACTCTTACCACATCTATTTTCTTGAACTCCTGCTAATGAATCTTACAACCGCCTCCCAGTTAGCTCAATGGATAGAGCGCTGGACTGTTGTGCGGGTGGTCGAGGGTTCGAGCCCCGGCCGGACCAACACTCAAAGGTCTTAAAACAAGTGAGAAGAATGTGCTACCTTTCTATAACATCAAGAAATGGTTAGATATTCTAGTCTTCTCGGATAGGGACGAATAAATGGAGGTCCCGTCTCCTGCAGGGTTAGGGGTAGGAGACGTTAATTTCCCACGCACGAGATTACTGTGTGATGGATGTCCTCCCCTGGGGTGGTTACTGGGTGGGAATTGGCCCTGAAAAGCCCCCGTGGGGAGTGGTCAATTAACATATGTATGTATGTATGTATGTATGTATGTATGTATGTATGTATGTTCTCCTGCGATGCTCTTTATCTTTGACAGCTTGTGTCTGATCGATATAAGGAGAACAATGCAGTAAACAATAAAAAATGCTTTTATTGTTCGAGTATTTTCTCTTTTTCGCTTTGCTCCTTCATGCATTTGTGTGTAAACGATCAGAATTGTCAAAAGCATTGAGGTGAGGTGCGGAGGTTATCATTACACAGCAAATTGTTCAAAAGATACCAAGCCAGAAGATCGACTTGTTTTGATGTAAAACTGATCTTGTTTCTGGCAGAGCCGTCAGTAAACAATTCATATTAAGAGTTATTTTAGGGTCTTTTCTTGTTAAAAAGGAATTTATTTACCAGTTCTACAAAAAAGGAACATCAATAACAGTAGGAACAAAAACAGCAATTCAACGAAAAAAAAACCATAACAGACAAAAACGAATTATAATTAATTTTAATCATCAAACCGTCTCTTCAATTTTACTTTTAACATATAAGACATCGAATATTACATAATTATAAAAATGAGACAAACAAAAAGGCAAATAGCGTCGCGCGCGAATGACGTCAGTGACTAATTTTCAATTTTTGTCTGTTTTGACATTTTCTCATTTTAATGACAAAAGTTACACAAAAGTGAGGGATTGTCGAATGTTAATTTCAATTTGTTTGTCTGAGTTTTGGGTCTATTAGTAGTAATAGCGGGCACCGCTGTTAAGTCTTACAGTACTAAACTCTGACTAGATTTAGAGCAATAATCAACCAAACTGTGCGCAGCTAGATGTTTTATTTGTGATCAAGTGTTTAACTCAGCCGGTCTAATCATCGCTGTTATTTTCCTATTGTCAACAACATATCTCGTTCCGAGACAACAGCGACGCCGTGGACAATGTCGTTAAAAAGGAAGCTATATTTTACTCAAGAATCTCGTGATACTCAAAGTCATCTAGTTTGTTTCTCACTGTCAAATCTATCTTAAAACTGAATATGGAACACAGTGTTAAATTAGAAATAGAACTTTGAAAATTAGCCGCCGTCGTTCACGTTCTCTAGACAAAGCCAAGTTGGGGTCATTTCACGTTGTTGTTTTGCAGAGAACGCAAAAAGATTAAAAAAGATTTATCACGCACGAGCACATCCATTGTTCTGCTCATTAAACATTTTGTTTTGTGACAAAACTGGATGTACCAGTAGGTTCAAGAGCGCAATGCGTAGTTTAAGTTTGCACTCTTTCGAAAGTTACGCTTTTAGAGAGAGATAAATCCACGGCCAATTTAAAAAATGCTACGACAAACATTTAGCTTGGTTTTTCTGTCATGTAGTGATCAATTTCCTAAAAAGAATTAATAAATGAATTGGAGAAAAATATACGCTTTTCCCAAATCGTTCAAAATTGTTTCGAGTAGTGTGCACTGAGGACGTACTGAGGAAATTTTTTTTTCAGTAAATAAAAACTTGAAAAATTGTTTGAAATACAGTCGTGCACCTCGTGATGTATTATCGCTTGCGGTTTTTAATTGCCCCCGCTCTCGGTTCGTGCTCTTGAAAAAAAAGTAAATAAAACTGCAATCCTTCTCATAAAAAAAAGAAAGGCACTCGCATCCATCTGATATCCTATACCTGTTATTATGATCATATCCGTAACCTTATGTCATCATCATTATCATCATTATTATCATGATCATAACTATTTTTATTACTCGCGTTTTAAATTTTCCTCCGTACCACAATGGTTTTATTTCTTTTATTTTTCTCATTTGCCTAAATATGCGCTTAGTTTGGTAAATTTTAATCATTTGCTGTATTCTATAGTCTACGATGAAATGTTGGCCGAAAGTCTTGAGGGTTAGGTTTCTTGCGTTTTTGTCAATTGCCGCATATGGTATCAATGGTTTCCCAAGATGCTTTGCTTTAGATTGCTTCAATAGTGGCCTAATACTACTTCTTTAACATTGTGTAATTATGTCACGTTCGAATTGTGGTCGGTTTTTCCGCACAAATTCATAAATTTAGATGAACTAATCAACCGTACACGTTTTACCTGCAGTGCATTTTCTTTTTTTTTTACTATTTTAAAAGTTATTTATATTGGAAGTCTACTCTAAGTTCTCGTTATTTGGCAAGTTCATCGGTTTTGAATTTTCACTTGCTAAAAATTGGACGCTCCAGCACACCCGTTTTAATAATATATGATTTTGTTCATTTTAATAATTCACTACTTATTCAACATTTTCTTTTTATATTCGAAGTTTTCTTAAGTGCTGTGGGAAGGAAAAACCTAGTGAGAAAATATTTTGTACTCTTGTAGGAGTAAACGAATTTCTAGCTTGCGTTTTTGTTTTGTAAGAAGTTCAATTTACGTTTTCAAATATAAGCTTGCACTTAAACTGCTTTTTTCTCGTCAATATTAACTAGGGCTGTAACGGTTTCGTATAACTTGTAGGAAATTCAAATAAGTTCTTCTGATCATTTGATATGCAATTTTTAAACCTCTTTAATGACATGCCCCTAGCATTTTTGTTATCGAGACCTGTTCGTTTGGAGATATGAATACTTCAATGATAGATCCGGGAATTTTGCAAAATAAAACAACATAATTGTTTTGGATTCAGCGTCTGGGCAATATCGCTTTTGCAATGTCATGTCCGCCGCGGAATATCGATTTCGTTCAGGAATACTCTGTAATTCACAATCAACGCTTTGTTAGACGTCCAAAAAGTCTGAATATCTTTACCAGTAGAGGAGAAGGGGGAAATAAGTGAAAGGTATAATGTAAAATCAATTTTAGTCAGTCTAGATCATATTTGATATTAATTCAGTGGAGAACAGAAAAGGGTGTCAGCTATTTCCGCTTACCTGCGAGTAAATCATTTTGTTTTGGTTCAGTGCCAAAGAAAAAATATTTTTTCTCCCTTAGACGCAAGATACACGTTGAAAACACAGCGCGACACGATATTTCAATGTACTAAATTTGTTTAACGCACCAAATATGCATAATGGAAGCGTGTGTAGGTAAGCTAATGAGTTTCATTTACCTCGTCTGTTATTTCAGTGCGATCGTTTTATCCACAACCGGGCAGATTCTATTCACTTATTAACTGACCCTAAACTGCCGAGTTTTATTCATGAATCTACCATCGGTCAGATTTCATGTTACGTTAGGCATCAGTTATATAGGAATGGAGCTTAAAAATAGATATCTGAAACTGTCTCGCGACAACCGCCCTCTTGGTGCGTTTTAGATAACTAATGTCTCTAGGTTAGCCAAGTATTTTGTAAGTACTTTTCTAAGGAAAGGAAGTACTTCTATCGCGATCATCTCTTGGCGAAGAAAACAGAGAGA